TCTTTATCGCAATTATACTTCTCAACTGCTAAAAGATTATGTTTAACCAAGCAATTATTAGCTAGCTAAAAGATTATGCCCCCTCATTTCTAAAGCGAATAATAATAGAAGGTACGTTTAAATCATTTTATGTTAAATCCAAGAAGGCTTAATAAATTGAGTCTAGCCAAAATATGTTAATATTGAATAGTAGTTGTCGTCGTCCTCGTTTTAAACATAATTTTTCGCAATTGATATAGTTGTTTAAGCCTACTTGAGGCAAGACCGATTTGATTAAGTAAAATTTGACCTAGCTTATTATTTGTGTCATCTAATTCACACTTGTATCATACAGTGCAAAAACCTTAATGATTGAAATACTATTCCTTTTCGTAGTGACCACACAACTGTTAAAATTCGTCAAGTCAAACCTAAAGGCAAAGATAAATACATACTCCAAGATGATGATTCAACTTAATTCTTAATTACATAAATTTTTCAAGCCACCTTTAGGCTTACTAAAGGGGTTTCAAATCATATAAAAAACAAAATAAATGAAAGCTCCTGCTAAGCGTTAAAATAGAACGTCTAAGCGATAAGCTAACCTGTCCGTATAGAGCTGCTGCAGCCACTGCCGCCATGGCAACGGCAGCTGCTGCGGAGCCTGGGGGTGGAGGTGGGCCAGGAGGAGGTGGAAATGCGAAGGCGCATGGTGGTGGTGGTGGAGGTAGAACTGTATTGATTCCGAAAGGAGACAAAGACGGAGTAACCAGAAGAGGCCCTACGGCGCCAGGAGGCCGTGACGATGAGATGAAGAGGCCAGGATTGTTGATGGAGGCAATCTAGTAAGGAAGATGAAGATATGAGAAGTATTCACCCTATTTCGCTGAAGGACTGATGAAGGACTGGTAGTTGAGTTTTCCCACTATGATATGAGTATAGCTGACGTTCCCATTTACTTTCACATAGCCTTGCTTTCCCAAAATTTGATCTCATCCGGGATGGACAGCAGTTTCGGCCTCGCTTGGGTCTTATCAACACCCCCAGAGGTAGTCTAACCATGACAGTGCAACGTCTAATCTTGTCACGATAACCTCTAAGTCACATTGTCACGAGTGCCCTCGGATCACAGAACAGAAGTAAATTTCAAAGGAGGCCAGGCCTTTCCCCATATCATATTGATTGCTAAGATTGTCGATCAAACAAAGTTATATTTGTTATGACAAGTTTGATGAGAAATATCATTATTAGTATGAATTAAATGTGACAAAATTACTATAAGTGATAATTTAGCAGGTAAAATAAAACTAAACTATTATAAGCCTTGATTTTAAAAAATAAGAAAAATATATATATAAATTGAGTTTCGAAGAATCTCTTAATAGAATGATGCTGGAGTACCTTACATTTCGTTCAAAGAGGCGAGTGGAAGGGATTCTAAAGTTGGTTCCATCGTAGGCGGGGGGGTTGCTTTGAAGCTGTAATTGTAGATTTGTGCGAATAGATCCTCGGCGCACTGCCTTGCGATCACGATAAAGCCTTAGTGAGCTTTCGTCCGTTGTGACGGACATCGTCAGATTAGGACACCATGCTTGACGAAAATTCACCAAAAACACGAAGACAAGAAAGGTGGCCGGCTTCAAACCTACTTCCTTATATTCTAATTTGGTCCAATTATGTATCTCGTGTTTTAGTTGGATGTCCTATGCTTTGCCTATATGTTTGCTCATAAGTTAAGTTAAGTGGTTGAGGATGACATGTTAACTGGCTACAGATAAAGCGTGATATGGGAGCAATTTAAATCGAACAACTGCATCCTCCCCTAAAACAGGTATGCCTTTTATCCTACAATTTTACCGCATGTGATTGCGTCCCATTGCACACGTGTTGTGTGAATGCATTGCTCTTCAAATAAGTGTGATGTAAGAGTCAAAACCAAATTCCATTCTAATCAAGCCTCCTTCTCTTGATCGGTGGTACTTCTCGTTCCACGCTTTCTCTCTAAACCTATCCAACAACCATAAGTAGTTTACGCTTAACTTTCTACACTCATTCCTTCTATGCAGGATGCTGGCTGCGTTGTTGAATTATATCGCCTCCCTAAGCTTTCGCTTACTGGTATAGTCTCAATATCCAGCTAAGCATTTGCCATTAGACTAATCTATTTGGTGCCCTGTGCGAGCCATGTGTTCATTTGATTTCGATTTTTGGACCCACATAAACTTGCAGGATGTTTTGTGTTCGGATAACCTCTTGTGTATGGGCCTACAAGTCTCTCCCACATAGGCACTATCATATTACATCACAGCCCGATCTGGAGAGCGGGTCAGAGTATTCTCGAATCCCTTCCACTCGCATTTTCAAACGAAATTGAAGGTACCCCAACATTAAGAAAAATATGGCCAGGGCAAGAATGTGCAAGTGAAAAGTGCAAGTACTGCAGAGACGTAGTAGAGATAAAAACGGCCAAATACGTTTATCAAGAATCCACTTGATTTCTCCTCGGCTTTTCTACCTTAGGATTATCCCAAAAATGATCTCAGCTTAATAAATAGCAAAAAGGGTGATTAAGGGAAAATGTAAACTTGTGAACCAGCCAAACTTATGATCTGAATTTATAGCATACTCTCTTAGATCTATAGAACTCAAAAAAGTTTGTCTGTATATGTCACCAAAAGACTTTCGTTTGACTACCTCTTGTCATTACAGCCTATGTAACCAGATCAATGTAGATGAATAGCTGTAGGATTATTAAGGAAAATAAAAATAAATAATCCAAGCTTTGATCGGCCTTAGATTTTTGCCGTAGGCATGTAGAGCCAAACAATGTTCAGAAAAGCTTTTTTAAAGGCTTTAGAGCGAATAAAAAGAAAACGGAGTTAAAAGGAATATGGCAATTGAGACGTCGCAGCACAGAATATAAGGTTTGCTGTCGCTAGACATTTGATTTAGTTTCCATTCATCTTCAAAAACAATACAAGGAAAACTAAATGGGTTTCGATAAATCTCCTGAGATAACATTATTGTTTGGACTTTCATTCCGTACCAAAGTGTAAGAAGAGGAGATTCGAAGGTCGATCTCATCAAAAGAGGACAGTTATATCCCGTTGTCCTACAGTCGTTTGACGCTGAGATTGATGCAGTCCCTAAGACCTCTCTTTTTTCGGGTGAAAACAAAACCAAACCATTCTATATCGATATATGATTTAAATTCTCTTTTGCTTAAATAAGACTATATAATAGGTAAGATAGAGCCAGAAAGTATTCTTGTCTTAGTTTTAACCTAAGAATTTTACAAGA